CCACCAAGGACGGGACCGTGGAACGTAGCTCCCCCTTCAGCTCCAGCTCCTGTTTCCTGGAAGGGCCGATCTTCTGCTGGCCAGCCTGAATCATGGGCTGGCCCATGCCTCCAAAACCTTTTCATCTGGACTTTTGGGATTTCTAGTCTTTCTTTCCTCTTTTATGAAAAAAAATAAAAATAAAATCTTTTCTTAACTATGATGAACTGGGATGGGTGGTGGGCTGTGAGATTATGAAATGCCTGTATATTGATGATGCCTGTATTTTATAAATATGAAATATGTATCCCTCAATGAACTCCCCTGTCTCTTCACCCCTTTGACCCCTTACCCCATAAAGCCAGCCTGACCAGGAACTGCCTGAGGGAAAGAGCCCAAGCCTCTTTCCCCCCCAAATCACCCATTAATTGACTCATTTTGCATGGACAATGCTGCTGGCCCCCCGAGTTCGTCATCGGAGCAAGGCCAACGAAGGAGGGTTTGGTCAGCAGAGCCCCGGAAAGAAAGGACTGATTAAATCACCCAGATACTGTTGATCCTCCGGGCGGTCTGGTATCGATCCAGCTATTCATATCACTCGCCAGACTCATTAAGAACAGGAAAGCCTTTGTTTGACAAACATCACCCTCTTCCCGCCTTGGACAATGGCCCGCATTCCAGCGGGCAGGAAATCCCAAATCCCATCACCTTTCCCCATTGTCCGCGGCTGTCCCGCCTCCTCGCTCCCGATTGGCCAGAACCCAGGAAGCGAGCGGAGGGCGCCCATTGGCCCTCCCGAGGCGAAGAAACGCTCCCATTGGCTCCTGACGGGGGAGGGCGGGATTACCTCCTCCCAGCTGTTCCAGCCTCAGCCAATCAGCACGAAGCCGGCTGACAGGGGGGCGGGCAGGATTTTCAAACTGCTTTCTTTTGTTCTACACTGTATAAAAATGCCTGGAAATTCTTGTGCTGCATGCTTACAGTGGAATGATTCCTGTAATGCATCCTTTTCAGCTGAATCGCAAATAAACCTCGATCGCTGGACTTCTTCCGCCTCTGATGAGCTTATTAATTTTTAAATATTTCTGCGCACTTGGATTGGCTCCCAGAAAGCTCACCAAGGTATCCAGGACCCTCTTTGGTGCGGTCCTTGGGCTCTCCTCCCTGGAGGGGCCCCCAAAAAGAGCTCGATATCATTTGGCTTTACTATGAAGGGACCCTGCTTGAAGGCCCCGATTCAATTATAGCCCAAATTTTCAAGCAGGCACCTTGGTCTGATTCTTTGGGCCAGAGCGAAGGAGGAGCGGCTTGGGAATCGAGGCGCCTCTCCTGATTCGGACCTAATTTGACCAGCTGACCAAAACTACAAATTCTCCCGCAGCCACTTCCTTCCAAGCTCTGACCTGGAGTTTCAGCACAAAGGAGCATAGGGAAGCCTTGATTCAAGGACTTCCATTTGGAAGAAGCGCGACCGACGTGGATAGGGGAGACGTCTGAAAGGTAAGCAACCGGGGTCCCCCAAGACGGCCAGGTGGAGGGGATCAAGTTTCTCTGGCTAGCCTCGGAGTCTGCCCACTGGAGAGGGATTTTCTTGGGACTCGGTAACAAATCCTGGATGAGGGGGGTGAACATCTAGGCGTTTTGAGGTCTTGACTTGGCAATCCAGCTTGCCTTCTTTGCATACCTGATAGGGGCTGTGTGAGAAAGGGAGTCCTCCCCTTTCAGTCTGTCCTGGTAGTTCAGGTGCTGGTCGTTCATTCTTTTTGGACCAGGTACCTTTCAAGGTGTAGGTTTTTGACTCTGATCCGGTTGCCAGAGGCCCTCCTTGATTAGCCACTGGACTGTGGGGCTGCTTCAGAG